CAGGTTCGACGCCCACGAATACATCTGTCCGCAATGGGGGCAAACGTGGAGTCTAGGCCTCACTATGGGAAAGAGCCGCGCATCTGGAAACAACGAGTCAAGTCAGCTTTCAGTTCTCGACCTCGCCTCGACGTTCTCACCAGCCTCTCTTCCGTCGAATACAGAGCTCGAAGCAAAATGCAACAAAGCGTAAACTCTCTAAGGTCTAACATCGAAGCGCATGCTTCGTGGCAGGTGTACGTACGAAGGTGTCGGGGTTTGCGTCCCAGAGTTCCTAGTCGGGAAGATCGAGAGATCGACGGTGGATCTCCCGATTTTCCTGCGACTTGGACCTGGAGGACCGCAAAGATTTTCGGGGAGGTTCCATCGAAAGGTGACGGCTGGTCGCAGGTTGCAGGTGCTTCGCCGATTCCCCTGCCTGAAACAGAAATCCCGAGGGACGCTTCCCTCGAGGTGTGGGGACACGTGGTGACGTTCACACGTCGATAATCGGTAACGTCCTCGACCTTCCTTCGAGGCATGGATTTTATTCTTATGCTCGAGTCTCGCAACGCCGAGAAACGGAGTCTCGACGTCGGGGACCCTTCCTGGGTAACAATGTAGAGACCGGGTCTCTCGCTCAGTACATGCTGATCTTGTGCATGCAGTACAAGTGTCGCTTCAGGTTGCCCTTGAAGTTCGATTTGTAGTTGCAGAAAGTGCAGCAGAAATTCGGGGGCTTGCCGCAGGCCATCTTCTGGTGAAGGCGCAGGCTAGAGGGCCAAGCGAACATTCGGCCGCACCACTCGCACGTGAACCTAACACCTGAAACAAAGATAGTCGTCAGGAACCGGAGGTCTTCTCAAGGAGTAGGGCGAAGCTCCTAGGACTTAGGGGACGCCGAAAAATCGGGGGTTGAGACTATTCGGAGGGGACGTCGCCAGTAAAACGAGACGCTTCGTGGACAATGTATTGGACGCGGAAATATATTTCTGGGGGCGACAAAAAGCGAGAAAATCGATTTCCCGAGGGACCAGAAAGCGATTTTCCACTTCTTCAGGGTCCTCTTCTTCTTCTTCCTCCTCGTCGCCTTTTCAGTTGATTTCACTAGAGTGGTGAAAAACATTGCGGAACTGCGGATCTTTGTTCTTTCCTTTCATCCTTGAATTTACTTTAATATTATAGTCGAATCAATGGTGGATCCTCGTAACGTGCCTCTGAATTTTAACGTTTCGTCTTCTGTGGATAGTAGATAACACTGACAGGATCTTTGCCGTGATTGAACCTTGGATGACTCTTCGTGTTCTCAGTCAGGATACCCTTTCGCTAATTTCGGGCACTTTATCCAGGATGTCAAGATCTAGGCGATCCTGGAAGTTAAGTTCTCCTCATCTTCGCCGGAAATTCTGACACCCATCGCGTTGGCGATCTTCGTCATCGATGTGGACGATCCGCAAGTGGAGGGAAACCTGGAAGCAACAAAACCACGAGTATCAGTACCTGCCCTTCGGTCATGACTTGGCCGAAGATGGAATAATCCTGGGAAATGTCATTTCATATCATGACTTGGCTGAAGATCGAAATTCCTGCGAGATTAAATTTCATATTATAACTTAGCTGATGATCGAAATTCCTGCGAGATTTCATTTCATATCATGACTTGGCTGAAGATCGAAAATCCTGCGAGATTTAATTTCAAATCATGACTTGGCTGATGATAAAAAATCCTGTAAGGTTTAATTTCATATCATGACTTGGCTGATGATAAAAAATCCTGCGAGATTTAATTTCATATCATGACTTGGCTGATGATAAAAATCCTGCGAGATTTAATTTCATATCATGACTTGGCTGAAGATAAAGAATCCTCGGGGATCGGTGGTTCAGAATTTTGCACCGACAAAAGTCAACCGTGTGAAAAAAAATCCTGGAATCCAAAGATTCGGGTAAACGACTCGCCAGGAGGAGCTTCCGCTCAACCAGCGATTTCCCTCACCTCGCCATCGACTTGGAAGGAGCGACCTCCTCGGGTTTCGCGTTTCACGAGATTCTCGCCGTTTATTAGAAAAAAAGGAAAGGAAATTTGGGGCAGCGCGACGAGCCGTCCGCTTACAAATCTGACCCTCGCCTGGAGTCGATCGTCGAGGTCTAGGTTAACAATGGAGTCGCATCGGTCACTAGATGCTGCTGGAGAAGACGTTCTTGCCAGGATGATTAGTACGAATGTGCTGATAAAGGTTGCCCCTCTGCTTGGTGCGATGGGCGCAATATGGACACTTGAACTGCGGCTCCTTGCCGCACTCGTGCCTGGTATGTCTAAGAAGAGTGGCCCTGTGCTGATAACCCTTTCCGCACTGCTCGCAGCGATAAGAGAATTCCGTCCTCTGCTTGGCCAGCCACATGGCGGCGAGGTCCTTGATAAGCGGCATAGCGGCAGGATAGTTCCTCTGCAGGGGCTTGGGCAGCAGCATGCAGGACATCTCTGGAAGCGAGAACAAAAAGAAGACCTGCGTTATCGATAAGCCACCGCCGTGGATCGGAAGGTCCGAGACGAAGGACGGGTGCACGATGGAATTAAAAAGGACGAGGTGTTCCCTGGGATCCTTGGAGTAGGGAGGAAGGGCGAGGGTCTTTCGTCTCTCTTCGAGTAATTTCTTCGTCCCTGTGGAGCGAAGAACGCCCCGGAAACGCGGATTAATTAAGGTCGATCGCTAATATCGATTGCGGTCGGACGCTGCACCTGCGCCTCGACGAGTTATCCACCCTCGAGGTGAAGGGGTTAAACTCGAGGTAAGGACTTTAATTTCCGCCTCTGGAGTCCTTTCCTTGAAAAGGACCTCGCGGTACGGTCGAAGTCGAAGACCGGGGGATATCTCAGGACGATTTATTGAGTAAGTCTCGAGGAGATCTACAGTGGGGTAGGTCGGTGTGGCAACTCGATCACGTAGATCCGCTTGCCGATGTGTTTCCTGCGGACGTGCTCGTTTACGTGGGCCTTTTGTTTCCCATGGGCGCTGCAATACGGACACTTGAATCGGGGAGCTAATCCGCACTCGTACCGCAAGTGCCGCTTCAGGCTCTTGGCCACGCTGTAGCTTTTCTCGCATTTCGGGCAGGCGTAGTTCTTGGCGGCCCGTTTCCGGGAGTCCTGGGGGATCAGGAAGAGCCGTCCAGGGGCCTTCCCGAGGGTGGGGTACAACGACCCGTAGATGCTGTACAGATACCGAGCGGGGCCCTCTGAAATCATAAAAACGAGTCGTTAGATCTGGAGGCCCCTCGGATGGAGATTCTCTCTACTTCCGGACTCGCTCCAAGCTGGAACCATCCGCGACTCGGACTGCAGGAGTTTCTCAAATTCATGACCAACGAAATCGAGTACAAAGTGGTATTACGGTGCGATTTCGCACCGAGAAAAAAAATATATCCTTCGCTTAGACGATAAATATCCGTGATTCGTGTAATTTAACGAATTAATATTTCCTAACTTATCGGAATTGGTACAATGGTGAGTGCCAGTGGAAACGGCAGTGAAGTCACAAGTCCGAGTAGCTGACTCGACCGCATCAACGGAGAGTTTTTATTACCGCCAATATCTCGCAGTATTTCTAAAAATAACAACTACTTTAATCATAGGTATTTATAACTATACTACAGTGGCTCCGAAATTCTCGGAGGCGTTCCGTGCATCTGTACGGTAGCGAATCGGTGGAATATTTTAACTTACTTCCATATAAAAATTACCGACTTCCCACTCATATCTTGCTAAGATTAACCGCGTTAATTGTACCTTAACGAGTTCCCAGCAAAATCTAAATTTCGTCGAATTTCTGCTACCTAATATTCGAGGGTGAGCTCGCGTACAAAACGAGAAATTAACCGCGAATCGTGCTAATAAAATATACGGTGAAATCCATAGCTAACCCAAAGTTAAAAAAAAAAAAAACTCGTCGATTTCCGAATTTAGCCCCAAAGTCGAGGTACATACCGCTCAAAATCCAGTGCAACCCCTTGAACGAACTAATGGCGCGATGATTTCCATCCATGATCACTTTTCAGGGTTTGTTGGGACTCCGAATGAGATATACCGAGAAATCCACAGCTAACGCGAAAATTGAAAAGAAATCAAAATCGTCGATTTCCGAATTTAGCCCCAAAGTCGAGGTACATAACGCTCAAAATCCAATGCAACCCCTTGAACGAACAAATGGCGCGATGATTTCCATCCATGATCACTTTTCAGGGTTTGTTTGGACTCCGAACGAGATATACCGAGAAATCCACAGCTAACGCACAGATTGAAAAGAAATCAAACTCGTCGATTTTCGAATTTAGCCCCAAAATCGAGGTACATAACGCTCAAAATCCAGTGCAACCCCTTGAACGAACTAATGACGCGATGATTTCCATCCATGATCACTTTTCAGTGTTTATTTGGACTCCGAAGGAGATATACCGAGAAATCCACAGCTAACGCAAAGATTGAAAAGAAATCAAACTCGTCGATTTTCGAATTTAGCCCCAAAGTCGAGGTACATAACGCTCAAAATCCAGTGCAACCCCTTGAACGAACTAATGGCGCGATAGCTTCCATCCAAGAACACTTTTCAAGGTTTGTTTGGACTCCGAGGAGAGGCTCCATCCCGAAGACAAGAAATTTCAGGACGCCACGCGACTGGTTAGAGCTGCGTCAGGTCGACGAAGAAGACTCGTTCCCCAGGGTGCTTCTTCCTGACGTGGCAGTACACCTGCGAGGTCTGTTTGCTGCGCAGGTCGCAGTAGGGGCACTTGAATCTCGGCTCGTGGCCGCACTCGTACTTGACGTGGCGGTTGCGGTTGCTCTTCAGGGTGAATCCATGAAAGCACTTGGGACAGTAGTACCTCCTCCTGACGGGGGACCTGTCGTATCGCTGGCTGGTGCCGTACCCAGGGGGAAGGTACCCGATGAAGGCGTTCACGGGGTCGAAACCTGAAAACAGGAAGGTCCTGCCCGTGAGGATCCAGCATCCGAGGGACTCTCTCATTCAGGGAACAAGAGAGCCAAGGTACCCGGACGTACGGGACACCTGGGTTCGGCTGACTCTATCAAGAACCTCGATTTTTAGGAACCCCATCCCATGGATCGATCGATCGATCACCGACTCGCATGCCACTTCGACCAAACTCCCCCACGGACACGGGGTGCAATAGATTTCGAGGTGAAAAGCCCGAGGACGACCTCGATATCGGTCCACCCGAGGTTAGCGAGTTAGAGAGGGCATGCAACAGGTGGGTGAAGATGGGTAGATACGTGTAAACGCGGGGAAAGGTGAGCAAAAGGCGTCGCGAGAGTGGTCCGCGACGTGCCCCTCGAGGACGAGGGTGGAGTCGCGGGGCGCGACGTTGAAAAAAGCCTTTCGATCGAGGTGAGGATCGATCCTGAGATGGTCTCAACAAAGATCGAGGAACATGGCGTGCAGTTAGCGGCGATCGACACACATCCCGCAAGCTCCCAGGTCCGTGGGCGATGATTAGGTGCGAGGCGTTAGTCGTGCAAGCTCCTGGGACGTTCTCGAGAACTGGAGGAAGCTAGGACGTGGAGGGAAGCAGGGAGTCCTTCGGCAGCTTCCGCTCCATCTTCGAGCCATCCTCGACGGAGTCGCCCGGAACTCCAATTCGGCTCCAATAATCGGCAACTCGCGGCGTACACGAGTCGGACGAGGGATTCGACCCGGAGCGAGTGTCCAGGAGATATCGAGGAGTGTCAATTTATTCGCAAGCACGATACAGGCTGGGTTTCGATCAGTCCTGGTACTCGAGGTGGACGACGTAGACCTTCTCCCCGGTGTGCCTGGTCCTGATGTGCGACATGACGTTCGAGGTCTGCTTGCTGCGGAACTCGCAGTAGGGGCACTGGAACCTGGGGGCCTGTCCGCACTCGTACTTCAGGTGCCTCGTCATGTTGCCCTTGATGGTGAACCCCCTGCCGCACTTGGGGCAGCCGAAGGGCTTGCCGAGCTGCGAGCAGCGCGAAGCTCTCGCGAAAATACCGGCTGCCCTGGGCTTCGAGCTTTCGGGGAAACACTCGGAAGCCGGGGTCGGACCTCCCGAAGCGTCTCCCAGGGCTCGCTGCAAGCCGAAGCTCATCTCCAGGGGTTGGGCGAAAAAACCTGAAAATGCAAGCCAACGGACTCGGTTATTTCACGGAGTCGAATGCAGGGGCTACCCTCTCCCTCTTCCAAACTCGAGGACACCTGCAGGGGGCGGGTGAATTCGGGCTCGACGAGCTACCGATGGCCGGTCGTGGAAACGTAACGATTTATTTGTCGTTTTCGTGGACGCGGTACAGAGCGATCGAGTCGAGGTTCGGCTTCGTCCGTGGTCGGTAAAAAGCACCCCTCGAAGGACACCCTCTTCATCGATAGGCGTTCACCGGCCCCGACTCGGCGAGGTCTATGCAGAAAATCGGCGCTCCGTAATGTCTGATCTTGATGTGCTTGTAGACGTTGTACTTCCTCTTCGCCTTGACCCCGCAGTGGGGGCACTGGAACCGGGGGGCCAGTCCGCACTCGTACTTGACGTGCATCCACATGGACTTGGAGGACTTGTAGGCCTGGTCGCACTTGGGGCACCTAACGCTGAGTCCCGTGGCTCGGTAATTCCTGCGTCTCTCCACCCTGAGCCTGGAGTGTCCTGGGGCGACGGCCATCGAGGAGCGACCTGAAACCAGGAAAGCCTCGGTCAGCTGGGGCTCTTCGGGGTCGATTCGAGTCCGGATGCGGACTGAACAAGGTCGACCCGTGGACGAGGTCCCCGACCTTCCGACCGTACCCGGCAAACGCACTTGCAATATCGGCACGCCGAGAAAAAAAACAAAAATGTCAGAGAACCTAAGTAATACTTCTTTCGATGTTACCAAGAAAAGAATATTTTGTTCATTCAGAGAATAATGATTTATCTCGAATAAACTCAACCAAACGTCAAATTTATTCGAGTTTGAGGGAAATTCTTTGGATTAACAAAATAAGTCTTCGGTTCGGTGGCATTTTCTTTTTTCTCGGGGTATAATAAGCGATGTTATTAAGATCTATGTAACCGCTATATACACGTATATACAAGCGCGTTCCTGGGGCACCGGTCTCGGGGTGTACATGTCAGGGTGCGGACCTCTCGGCGGGGATTTGGGGTGGTGAACGGACATGGTCGCGCGATCATTCGACTTTATTTCTCGGGGGTGCCGGTCACAATCGGAAGAGGGCATTGAGCTTCTTGTCGAGGAAGAGCTGCGACTCGGTGGGATGATGGGCGGCGAGATGGCGGACGATGTGGACCTTCTGGTAGTTCCTGACGCCGCAGTGCGGGCACTCGAACCTGGGCGGCTGCTGGCATTGATACCTCAAGTGGGCGAGCATGGACTTCTTCCACTTGTAGAGATTATGGCAGCTAGGGCACTCGAAGGTGCCGACGGCCTTGAGAGGAGCGGAGCCTTTGGGGCGGAGCAGGAGCTCGCCCTGGAGCCTCGGGCGCGGGTCACCTGAAACGAGAACACAGGCGTCGATAACTCGCAGGGCGAGCAAGTCCAAGGGGGGCGACACCCCTGGGGGGTCGGAGGAGGAAAAATCCGGACAACCGAGATCGGTCCAAGGGAGCCTTTATTGCAGCACTAGGTCTCGCCCTTCGACCGCGGAGACCTCGTGGCGCGGATACACAAGCATTCCGGATCTGCGAGTTTTCCCCCGCGAAAAGGGCGGGATTCCCCCCGACACTGTCTACGCTCTACGCTACGGGTTTCTCCGCCGACGAGATCGGGTCCAGGGGGTGGAAAATCGCGGGCGAGGCCGGTCGTCGGAAACCTTGCGGGACGCGCTACTCGCTCCTGTCTTGCTTGGTCAGGGTGGCGTTGGTCGCGATGTCGATGCAATAGAACTCGCGGTCCGGGTGGAGGCTGCGAATGTGGGTCCAGACGTGGGAGCGTTGTCGGAGTCTGTGGTTGCAGTAGGGGCACTCGAATCGCTGGGGGGTGCCGCACTCGTATCTGAAATGGCGAATCATGTGGCTGCGGTGCTTGTAGGTGCGACAGCAGTTCGGACAGGGGTGCCGATTGGTGGACGCGTAGGCGTAGCGCCTCTTGACGAGCCTGCGCCTGGACCAGCTCTTCGACTCGGACTCTACGAACAGAAATAAACGTTTTCGGGAGATTAGCTTTCTGGAGGTCTGGGACTTGGATGCGAGGTCCCTTCTCTCGTTAGGTTCCCCCAGGTCCCTCTTTCCGGCTCGGTTCCGGGGAGCACCGCTCAGGAGGGAGGCCGGGGATGCGAGGCGGGCACAGGGGGTGAGGGGGCGAAATGAAAGCAGAGTCGTTAATAAAATATGATTTATGAACGGGGCAGACTCCGACGGGTCCGTGTCTCTCGGTCGGCGGTTAGGCACGCTCGGTATTACAGGTGAGTTACTCTAAGGGCTCTTCTCACAACATGGACAGGTCGATGTAGCACACCGCCGCGTCGGGATGCTTCCTCCGGATGTGCCGGTATATGTGGTCCTTGCGCTTGTTGCGAAACCCGCAATGAGGACAGGCAAATTTCAATTCGTTGCTCGTGGATTTCATGCCTTTGCGTTGCATGTACCTCGGATAAGTGACTGCGACGACCCACCCTGTGGACAGGAGCGTGAACAACAAATCAGGCATTAAGGCATCCGGGGACGCCGGGAGGGGGAGGCACCTTCGGACGACCCGGAGGGCGCGGGGAGTCGCGAGAACCGGAAGTCCAAGTAGCGGAAGGTTACAGGTGAGAAGATGCCGAAGAAGATCCCAAAGAGTGCAGGAAGATGACAGAAGAGTCCTCCACCGACAAGCCAAACCCGCTCTACCGGACACTCGTTGCAGGGTCGCGTCTTCGATTAGTTTGTTAGTCATTGTTAGTCGTTAATTTCCCGTTGCGGTCCTCCGACCGTTCCTCTCGATCCACCGGTTAAGAACCACTAGGAACTACTCTAAAGAAAAAAAATTGGGGCGCTCCAAAATACAGGTTACGAGGTTTATTTCTCCTCCCTCCTCTTCGCGGACGACTCAGGGAGCTGGCACGCATTCCGGGGAATTTTATTAACCATAACGCGGGCGTGATACATCTCCTCGATAGGGAGAAGGCCGAAGAGGGTTTCGATATCTTCGCGACTTCGAGGTCGGCATCAGTAGAGCCGCTTGACGAGCAGCGGCTGCCCGACGTGGTACTTCCTAGAGTGGGCGTAAATGTTTTGGGAGAACTTGGAGACCTTCTCGCAATAGGGACACTGAAACTTAGGCTCCATGCCACACTGATACCGCAGATGGCTGAGCATGTTCTTCTTCTGGGTGAATCCACGGGCGCACCGCGGACAGTAGTGGCACTTGTTACTGCAGTACACCCCTCGCCGGTAATTCCTCCTCGCTTGCGACGAGGTACCTGAAAGCCAAGCACGCAACGTTAGGGGAGGTCGGTCCAACGCCCGGGGAGACTTCGACGCAAGAAAAGGCAAGGTCGACCGCGAAGACCCCCTTCCGATCTCGGGATGCCGGAAATATTCGAAATGTCCAGGGAACCGAGGAAAAGAGGAAGCCACGACCAAGGACGGAGTAAGATCGCGCTTACATATATTCCAGAGACATTCCAAAACGCCGGCCGTGCTTTACAACTCTCTACCGTCTAGGTAGGACTCAGAAGAGCTTGATGACGCCGACCTCGCAACCGCGATGGCGAGACCTGACGTGTCGGTAAACATTCGAAGAGCAGGAGCCCTTGATCTCGCAGTAGGGACACTGGTAGCGATGTCCGTGGCCACAGAAGTAGCGCAAGTGTCTGATCATGGTGCTCTTCTGGGTAAACCTGGACGAGCAGGTGAGGCACTCGTACCTCTTCTGGTCCATGGGGTGGAATCTGCACCGGGAGCGAAGAATTGCGGCGGTTTCGGCGTTGAGTCGGCGGTCGTTCTCGGAGGCACCTGAAAAAGGCCAGGGCGAGACTCGTCAGCGAGGGTGGAGGCACTGTCGAGAGACCTCGGTCTCTCTTCGGGGTCGGCGGCCAGGAGGGGGGCGGGGGCTACGAGGACGCGAGCGAGAAGGTGGACACTCGGAAGGTGAACCTCGTCCTTTATTCGGCTAGCTTTACAAGCGACTCTTCAGAAGAGCTTGTGGTAGTAGACCTCCTTCCCCGCGTGGTATTTCCGCACGTGGTACTTGATGTTCGAGGAGTACCTGTAGCGCTTGTCGCAATAGGGACACTTGATCCTGAGCTGGTTCCCGCAGTGGTACCTGCGGTGGTAGTTGACGTCCTTCCTGCGCTTGAAGAGCTTGCCGCAGCGCGGACAGTCCAGCTGCAGGGGGCCCTCTTCGGGGCCGAAGCTCGACCAGTCTGCAACAGAGGACGAGGACATGTAGCGAGGACTCCGGGGCGTGATGCGCGCAGGGACGTACGGGGGGTCTTCGGGGGTCCAGGGTCGGGAGTACCCTGGTGGAGGCGACGACGAGGGGCTAGTCCGCGGTACCCAAGCTCGCAGAGACAGGGAGTTTATTCGTTACAGGAGGTCTGGACCGCTAGAGGACTAGTACAGCTTCTTGATGCCGACCGGCATCCTGGGATGCCATCTTCTGATGTGCCGATACACGTTCGAGGACGAGTGGTCCTTTTTCTGGCAGTAGGGACACCCGTAGCGCTGGCTCTGCCCGCACTTGTGTCGGATAAGGTCCCACATCCTGCGATATCCCGCGTTGCACTTCTGACAGACGTGGCACGTCAAGGACGTCGCGTCGGACCAGTCGCCTCGGCCGATATCTGAAAGGAAGGAGGTCGCGTTAACGTCTCGTCGGCGAGAAAGGGACGAATAACCTAGCGCGATCGACCCGATCTCAGGTGCAAGGAGTACTGCGCTACGTTCGATGGGTATCACACGCTTTATTCGTCGGTGGTACATTCACGCGGGGTACCATTTCTTCGAGATCTTTCCCGGGGAGCGGAACGCACTCCGGAGCCCCCCGGGACCTCTTTTCCTCGCATTTCCAGGAAGACGAAGAGGATCGACTATACGTCGACGCTCGACGTCGACGCGTAGCCGTTACAGCGGGTGGCGCTCCTTCGGGATACGCGGATTTATCGAGTAAGAATCGAGGGAGGATGGCAGCCCTTCGGTGGACGCGTTCAGTTCCTGTGGACGGTCACCGGGAGGCCGTCGTGGCGCATCCTGACGTGCTTGTAGATATTCGACGAGCACTTGTCGCGCTTGTTGCAGTAAG